CGCGAGCGCCTTGCTGTGCGCGCCATGCATCTTGCGCAGCAGGCTCAGCACGCGCGTCTCCAGGTGGGACGCTGCGTGGGCGTGGTGCAGGCGCGGCGCGGCAGTTGCGTTGAGCGCATCCGCTGTCACCGCAACTGGCAATGGCGCCGGAGGTCGCTTCGATGCTGCAGTACCGCCCGCCACTGGTCAGTGAGCGCAGCCCCACAGCCCCACAGCCCCAAACCCCTGCAGACCCCACGGCCAAGCACGCCCCCAGCCCCCAGCCCCACCTTTTGGGAGGTGCTCCTTCTCCCGCGCCTCTTTATCCGCCGCCGCCGCCGCCGCGGCCTCGCCGCCGCCGTCCGGCGGCGGCGTCGCCGCCGGCGCGGCCGGCTTCTGCGGCGGCGCGAGCACGCACGACAGCTTGCCGGCCAGCCCGAGCCGCGGGTCCCCCAGGATGCCCTCCCAGTGGCCGATGCCGTGCCAGAACACCCCCACCAGCAGCGCCGCGTCGTCCGCCGCCCCCCACCCGACCGCGGGCCCCCACTTCGGCGCCGGCGGCGCGGCGCCGGCCTCAAGGCGGAAGGCGCGCGGCAGCTGCTGGCCGGCGTCCTCGAGGGCGAGCAGCTGCTTGGCGAGCAGCTTCATCTGGGCGAGGTGATTGAGGAGCTCCTGGGCCTTCACGGGGACGCCGAAGAAATCGAGCATGGCGTCCTGCGGCGTGGGTATTATGGCATGTGTACGCGTGTTTGTGCATGTGTGTGTGTTTGTGGGTGCGAGAGAGAGATTGGGTGTGTGCCCACGTGTGTGTGATCGCACGCGCGCGAGTGTGTGTGTATGTGTGTGTGTGAGAGAGAGATTGGTGTGTGCACACACCTGTGCACAGGTGTGTGTGAATGTGCGTGTGTTTGAGCGTGCGCCCGCGCGTGTCCTTATGATTGCTGAGAGTGACCTGGGCGCCGCGTCCCGCAGAGTGCTCGAGCCGCGCGACGCGCGCCCCGGAGGGCGGCAGGCAGGAAGGCGGCGGCTGTGTGGCATGCCAGGGACGCAAGCTGGGGGCGGGGGGTCCCAAGGAGAGGGAGAAGCGGGCCACACCTTGGCGTCCTCGGGCGTCTCGTCCACGGCCGTCCTGCAGCCGTCCACCAGGCTGCGCCACAGGCTCAGGCGCTGCCTTGGGGGCGCGTCCTCCAGGGCCGGGCCGACCTGCAGGGGGGTTGAGGGGGTAAGGGATAAGTGTGTGCGAACGTATAGATGCGGGTTTCTGTGCAGAGCAAGCGGGAGCGCGCGTGTGCGTGTGTGGGTGTGTTGTGTGTTTGTGGGCCTCAGGCCGGTTAACGAATGGGGCTGCAATGGAGACCAGGACCCTCGCACCTCTGCTGCGATGGCGGGCAGCCGCTGAGGCAGGCCGTACCGCCGCACCGCCCGCACGAACGCGGCGGCGTCGCGGCGGCTGATGGTGCGCACGTTGGCGGGCGCGGGGTCGGGAGAGCCGCCACGCGGGGAGCCCGACGCGCGCTTGCCGCCGCCTGGCGCGGGGGTGCCCTCCTGCGTGGGGTGACGCGCGCACGGAGCCAAACGCTTTGTCCCTCCCTGCACAGTCCTGAATACAGGCACCTCCAGGCCTTGTATGACAGCCTGGACTGAGGACTGCTGTTGAGACCCCTGAACACAGATGGATTGCACAAAGTGCGCACGAGCTCACTCGCGCCGCCCCTCCCACCAAGCCCGGCCAGCGCGCCCACCTGCTGCGGCCGCCCCTCCTCATCCACGTCGAGCAGCCACTCATCCACCCGCAGCGCCGCCCCCTCAATCGCCGGCCCCGGCTCCGCGCCCGACACGTGCTTCTTCTTCCCCGCGCCGGCGCTCCTCGCGGCGGCGCCCCGCCTCTTCCCGCCCCCGCCGCCGCCGGCCCCGCCGCCGCCGCGGGCGCGCCGGTCCCTGCCGCCGCCGTCGGAGCCGCTGTCGTCTTCGGAGGCGGAGGCGGGGGCGAGGCCGAGCGCCTCGCGGTCCTCTGGCTTGAGGCGCGCGGCGCGGGGCAGCAGCAGCTCGTCCCGCTCCTCCAGTGACACCCTGGGGGCGGCGGCGGCGGTTGCGGGAGTGTGTGGACGCACGTGTGCGTGCTCTGCCTTGAGTGCGCGCTTGCCTGGTCTAGGCCTAGCATAGCCACGTGTTTGGCGCGGCGCTCAAGCCAGAGGCAGGGAGGGAGATATGGGCGCCTCTTGAGCTGCCCGAAACGTCGGCCGCGGCCCAAAAGAGACAGCGCAACTCCCGGCCCAGGGCGGGCGGTCGCGTCGCGGGGGCCCCGCCGCCGCGGCTGACGCGCACCGCTCCTCCGGGGGGATGAGGCGCTCCCAGAACGTGGCGTCGTCCTCCGCGGTGTTGAACGTCGCCACGTTGAAGCTGCCCAGCAGGTCGGCCGCCGCGCCCTCCTCCCTGCACAGTGCGGCGGCGCGATTCAGTGGAGCCTCGCGTTTCGCTTCTACTTGCATGCGTGGATTGTCATCGCTGATGCTACTGGGGTGACGGCTGCCTGATGCAAAGGCTTTGGGCCGCGCACAGCTATGTTATGACCGCAGCGCAACCAGACCCGGCGGCCCGCCGGCGCCCGCGCCGGGGCCGTGGCACTCACCCCTCCCCCTCTCGCGCCTCCACGACCTCGGCCCTCTCCAGAATCGCGTCGATGTCCTCCTCCAGCATGGCGCGCTGCTGCTGGCGCGCGGCCTCCTGCTCCTCCGCCGCCCCCTTGAACAGGTCCTCCGCGCCAAACCTGGGGGTGGGGTGGGGGTCGAGGGGGGGGGGGCGGATGCGTGTAATTATGATGATGCAGAGTCCATGAGTATTTTTAGATGTGTATGTACATGTGTGCGTGTGTGTACACGTGCATGCATGTGTGTCTCTGTGTGGGCGTGTGCATGTGTGCATGCATGTGCGCACGTGCACCGCTGCAGGCATGGGAATCAGAGGCGATTGCGTCCGGAAACGGCGCGCGCTCGCGCGGCAAGCAGGGCCTGAGCCGCAGCCCCTCGCCAGTGGCGCGCGTCTCACCCGCGCCCGGGCGCGTGGGAGCTGCCCCTGCCCCGGCCAACGGGGCCGGGCGCCCTCCTGCGTCCCTAAGGGCCCCTCTGCAACCCCCGGCCGATTTTCTGGCCCCAGCCGCACCTCATGATGGCCGCGAGCTCCTCCTTGCCGAACAGCTGCTTGGCCGAGGCCTTGTTGCCGCCCGGCTCCAGAACTGTGCGGCCGCTGGCGTCCATCCGCTGGATCACCTGGGGGACGCAAGACGTCGACGTGCGAGAGGAGGGAGGGGCGCCGTCGCGTTGCGTCGTCGCGCGGGGTAGCGGGCCCCGGGGTGGGAGGGGAAAGAGAGGCGACTATCGATCGAGCAGGCCCCGCCGCATGCAGCGAATACACGCCACTGATAAGCTGCCTCCTTCTCACTTGACCCCCGGTGTGTATATGTGTGTGTCTATATGCGTGTGTGTGTGTAGGCATGCGTGCGTGTGTGTGTGTGTGTGCTTGTGTGCTCGTGTGTGTGTGTGTGCGTGCGTGCGTGTGTGTGTGTGTGTGTGTGTGCGTGTGTGCGTGCGTGCGTGCGTGCGTGTGCGCGCGTGCGTGTGTGTGTGTGTGTGTGCGCGCGCGCGCCCCACCAGGTGGTCCAGCACCCTCTTGCGCTTGGCCCTTTCCAGGATGTCCTCCTCCACGCTGCCGCTGGTCACAAAGCGGTAGATGTTGACGGCCTCGGTCTGGCCGATGC